GAGACCTTGGCAGGGCGCGGGCAGGACCGGGTCACCAACTCTGGTCTTTCTTGGAGCTGTCTGCGTCCTGGAGGGGGAGGGGAGGAGGCGACTGCGAGTTGGGGAAAGCCGGCGTGGCAGGCTCGTGGCACGCTCGGTGGTAGCCGGAGCTCCTGTGAACGTGACTGGCAGGGGCTCGGCCCTCTTGGTCTATAGGCAGTGGCCAGATGGCAGGGCCAGTGCTCTTGGACGAGCCCTGTGTGGACTGGGTCCTGAGGATTTGGATGGCAAGGCCTGAGTCAGAGGGCCAGGCAGGGGTTCCACAAAGTGGCACCGTGGGCACCACCCTGCCTTCCCCCTGGCAGGGGACCTGGCCACAGGGGTACCCCAAGGTTTCCTGATGGGCCAAGGAGGCTGCTGAGACAGAACGGCCGCAGTGGATCGTGGGTGAGCTCAGGGGGACCATCTGTAGGGTTGGAGCTTGAGGGGACAGGTGGTGGTGTCACATTTTTGATGTCCAGGAGCTACCGAGCTGGTAGGGCTATGAGTCACTGTGGGCACTGGGCACCTGGCCAGCTTGATCCTGTGGTGACCTCTTTATGCTCCTGGGGGGTGGGGGTCGTGAGGGAAGGGAGCAGGACGCCTGGGTTCTAGCTCCTGGTGTTGCCAGCCCACCTGGGACCCCCTGCCCTTCCTTCCCCTCCAGACCAAACGTACTGCCCTCACCTCATAGCACCCCCCAGACGAGAGTAGAACTGCCCCAGGGGTTTCTGAAACTCTCGAAGTCCTCCTCTTTCTCCCAAGGAGTGGCTGGGGCTTCAACTGCTAACCTCGCGGTTAGAAGCCCAGCACATAACCCCACACCCCACCAGCCACCAGGGTTCTCTCTTCTTGTCCCACCGTGGGTGGTGTTTCTCGATGTCTGCCTCTTTCCTAGCGTGTAGAAGGGAGTGGCTGGAAATAGATCTGGGCCCAGAACAGCTTTAATCAGCACTGTCCTTGTGTCCCCCTGACCCCTCTCTCTCCATGGCGGCCGGTGCCTATCTCAGAGAGGCTGAGTGGAGGGGGCCCCTGAGCCCTGCTCCTCCCCAACCTAATCATCCGCCTAGTTCTTATCATTGTGGGGTCCCTCTCTGCTCTGTACCCACCACCTCTCCCAGCCTCAAGATGCGAGTGAGGCCTAGTGTCGCCCCAGGGCAGAGGGGGGTGGGGGAGAAGGAAGAACTTCCCCAGAGGACTTGCCCACTTGCTGGGGGGCTGGGGGGCCTTTTCTTCAGGCAGGAGATTGCCACATTGGCATTCCTGGGAACCCCCTCGGAAAGGGCTAGGGGAAGGGAGGTGGGAAGGAAGGCAAATAGGAAAGGGAGAGGCAGAGATAAGGGGGAGGGGGTGCCAATAGGGCCTGAGTGGGGGTGGGTGTTGGGGTGGAGACCTGAGAGAGGAAGGCATGCCTGATGCCCTGGCTTATCCCCAGGGCCCCCCAGGGAGTGGCACCCCCAGGCAGCTGGCAGCTCCAGGCAGGATGTGTGCTGGGGGAAGGGGGGGAGGGGGCATGTGGGGACCTGTCCCAGCCACTTCTCATCACTGGGGCAGCTGGTGGCTTAAATCTTAATCCAGGACACCATGAGACAATAGGTCCTACAGCAACCTCACTCTGAGGCCTGGTGGGGGGCCTGGCGCCCAGTGGGTGGGTGGGTGGGGCAGGCCCCACTGGGGAGGAGAAGGGGCTCTGGTCAGAGAGGGCAGTGGTGGGCCCCTGAGGTCCTCTTCCTCCCTGATCAGTTCCTTGCCAGCTCAGCAGAGCCAGGAAATCCAGGGGATTTCAGACCTCAGCAGAATTCCCAGAGAATGTTCTCCTCCCAGGCCCCCCTAGGGGTGTGGGGCTCAGTGGGGCCAGGCTGGAGCTAGGCAGTAGGAGCTGAGGCGCCAACACCGGACCTCCCACCCAATGGCAGAAGCCTTAACCAATGTCTCCTGGGCTGGTGGTTATCCCCCATTTGCTCGAGTCCCCCCAGGGATGGGAAGCTCACAACTTCATCCTGGTAATTTTCCATTGAGCATGAGTGTGTGGTTCAGATAAGACCAAGAGGCTCTCTCACTTGTGGTGCCTGGTGCCCCTCGGCCTCTTTGTGTCTCCCATCTGGCCCTGTCCTCTGGGACCATATGAAGCAGGCCAACGGCCTCCGTCACATTTTCCTTTAATCTTTTGTCATTTGAGGACACGCTCTCTTGCCCCGCCTGCTCCTGGCAGCTAGATGGGTACAGAGGTGACATGCTGGGCTTTCCGCAGCTATGAGGAGGGGGAGGGGGCAGAACAGTAAAGGGGGAGCCCCATCCCCTGGGAACTGGTGGTTTCCTACCCTCTACATGAGTCCCTCTGCCCTTCCCTCTGCTGAAGGTTCCTGCCTGGTGCCAGGGGGGCCTGTGGGGTCGTGAAAGGACTGAGGACTGTTTCTAGGGGGGCAGAGGCTGGGCTTGGCTGCCTGATGTTGGGGCCCAGGAGCACCTGAAGGAGGCGTCCTGACTTTTCGCCCGAGCATCTCCCTTGCCTCCGCCCTTCTCCAGTCCGTCTCCTGGGGGACGCACATCTCTCTGACACCTGCTTTGTCTCTCTGCAGACCTGAAGGGAGCCACTCTCGGGCACTGCCAGTCCCCGGGTCCCCCAACCCGACCCTTGTGTCCCTTGTCTTCAGATGCCCTGGGGGCTAAACCAGTCGGCTTGACCCCCAAGAGCCCCTTCTGCTGTCCGATGCCAGGGATACTCCCTTCATGCCTTCTGCCCTACTCGACTTCCCGCTGCTGCTCCACCCCCCTCACCCCACCCCCGAAAGACACCCTCGAGTCTGCCCCAATGTGCACACACATCCGGATGATGGCACCGTGTGTGTGCGCGCGCATGCCTGCATGTGATGCGCCTGTGCACAAGAACCTGCGTGGCTGTGCGTGACTGAGCACATAACTGCGGGGGAAGGAGGGGTTTCAGCGTGTCTGTCTGCAGAGGGGTGTGTGAGAGTATGTTACACACGTGTCTGTGTGCACGGTGTGTATGTGCACCAGGCAGGAACCTGTGTGGCTGTGCGTGCCTGCATACAAAATTGCAGCGGGGGTTGGGTGTTGTCAGTGATGTGCGTGCATCTGTCTGCCTGCATGTTTGTGCCTGAGTGTGCATGTATTTGTGTGTCCGTCTGCACGCATGCTTGTCAGTGTGTCTGTGAGCATGTTACACGCATGTCTGTGTGCACATATGCATGTGCACCAGGCAGGAAGCTGTGTGGCGCAGGCCTACATGGAGGTGTGCCGTGGCAGTGGCCTCAGGGAGCCCCCAGTTTGCTGCAGCGAGTGACCCCTTGGAGGCAGAGGCATTCTGGGTAACTGAGGGGACACCCGAAAGGAGGCAGGAGCCCTCGGGCTGATGAAGGTGGGAGAGGAAGGACAGGGAGAAGGACGTCAGGAGCAGGAAGGGCGCTTGACCCCCAAGGTCGGTGGTCCTCTTCCAGGTGCAGAGTTGGGCGTGTGGGCCACACGGACACCATGCCCTATCTCCCTGTGCCCCCAACAGCTGCCACTGGGCCCGCGAGATGGGTGCTCTGCTGGGCGCCCCCTCCCCTGGCAGGGGCCTCGGACGCTCCTGCTGCGCAAGAGCCTGCAGGACGGCTTCGGCTTCACCCTGCGCCACTTCATCGTCTACCCGCCCGAGTCAGCCGTGCACTGCAGCCTGAAGGTAGGCCCACCTGCCTACCCCAGGAAGCTGTCATCCACCAGGGAAGGTTTCACGGGCCCTCTCCATGGTCCTTTTGACCCTCCCTCAGAAGCAATCCTTGCTGGGGTCCGGCCTACCTCTAGTCTGCTGTGCTCTGGGGTGGAGCATCCCCGGGAGCCACGTGAGAACCTGACGGGTCCCTTGTACTGTGTGGTCATCATGGTCAGGTCACTGGCACTGTGCGATCAAGTCCCCTGACCTCTCTGAGTGAGGTCTTCTCAGGAGAAGGGGTGGCTGGTTCAGGACAAGGGACCTGGAGCCAGTACGCCTAGACGCTAACCATCCAACCAACCAACCAACCTCCAATCGGCCATGTAGGACAGGGTAGAACCGCCCCTGTGGGTTTCTGAGACTGTAACTCTTTACAGGAGTAGCAAGCCCCACCTTTCTCCCAAGGAGCAGCTGGTGGTCTCAAACTGCTGACCTTGCAGTTAGCAGCCCAACCACTCCACAAAGGAGCTAGAAGTCCCCAGCCCCTAAGCCACTGGCCCCTTCGCCGTGTCTGCTGTCCTTTCCTCAATCTGAACTCTCCGAGTACCCGTCCCAACCCCGCTCTGGGATTCAAATCGGAGCACCCCAGGTCCACGCTCAGCCCAGGTCTGTGTGCTGAAAAGAGCGCTAGCTGACCTGGCATGACAGACGGAGACCTGGGTTCTAGCTCTGGTACCGCGCCTAACCCCGGTGGCTCCTGGGCCGATCGCACCTGCTCTGGGACGTATAACTGGAGGTCTTTTTGTTCCAAGCTCCCTAAGGACTCGCCCAGCCCCGACAGGAACATCCAGCCGTCCAAGTTTGGGACCAGGGCTTCTCAGCCTAACTCAAGGCTGCAGACCCCAGGGAGGAGTCCCTGACGGCAAAAGAGGAGGGAAGGACAACCCAGGGGTCCCAAGCAGGAACCAGTGCTCCCCCTCAGGTGGGGGACCCTGCTCCTTTCCCTCACCCTCTCCAGCGGGGGAGGTGACAGACTTATTTCTCATCAGTGAGCCCCTCTCTCCCCTCCCCCAGGGCTGGGATCAGCCTGCACAGCTGTTGAAGGACTCTCTCCTGGGGACCTTGGTCCCCCCTGCCTGAGAACCAAGGCATTGAATGTCACTGTCTGTGCCTGCCTGCATGTCTCCATGTGCACATGCGGTAGGATGGCCATGCCCTTGCGTGCGTGCATATCTGTGGCATGCATACAGGTATCTGCACATACAGACGTGGGCACACAGAGGTGCCCCTCTCCCCGCCACGCCTGAGCCTGTGCGTCCATGTAACTGCTCTCATGGGCTGCAGCCGTGAGTGGGGGCTGATGGTCTGGGGCATGCCTACCCCAGATGCCCACGGACACCAGTCCCCTCATATCCTCCCGTTTCTTCCTTCGTCTTTCTCCAAAGCCCCACCCTCCACTCCCAGGACCCGCCCCTTTCCCTTAGAGGACTTTGCTGAGGGGAAGACAGTCACAGAAGTAGGCTGTGGTGGTTCAGGCTGGATGGCGGAGTTGTCTAACAGGGACCTTGCTCATATCGGGGTCTGCAAGACCCCAGGTCCTGCGAAGCCAGGGCCGAGCTCTCTCCCTCCCTCTCAGCTCCTGCTTGCAACTGGGAGGGGCCCCGGCTGGAGGACCTGGTTCTCCCCTCCTCCTCCTGCCAGCCTGGGAGCCTGGGGGGACGCAGCCCCTCAGCCAGCCATCAGAACGCATTTGTCTCTCTGCCACCTGCTCCCGTGGCTGTCAGCTCACATCAGTGGGTGCTTACCCCACATTGGGCCTGCTCCCTCTCCAGCAGTGCCCACCCTGTCCTGGCTGGGCTGCCAAAGTCCTGGGTGCTGGCCCAGCTTTCCATCCAGTCTCTAGGTGGTCTTGGGCAGTGCCACCCTGGCATCTGTAAAATGGGAGTCTCCTTGGAGGGGGCTGGCTGAGATGATGACCAAGCCCCTCTCCAGCTCTACAATGCCACCTCCTGCTGGCTCGTCCTCTGTCTTGGCCCCTCTCCTCATTCCTAATTCCTGTCCAGACTCGGGTCCTAATCGCCGCCACTTAAACCCCCGACATTAGGTCCTCATTTTTCCCCTCCCTGCCCCCCCCCCCCCCCCAACCGCCCACTCACCAGGGGCCTCCCATGGGGTCCTCAACTCTATTTTGACCTATACCTAGTTGTTGAGGAGCTCTGGTGGCCCAGTGATTATCTGCTGGGTTGCTTACCACAAAGACAGCAGTTCAAAACCACGAGCCCCTCCACAGGAGAAAGAGGAGGCTTTCCCCTCTTGTACAGAGTGACAGCCTGTACAGTGATCCCACAGGGGCAGGTCTACCCTGTCCGATGGGATCGCTGTGAGTTGGAATCCATTTGATGGCAGTGAGTGTGTTTGCTTGTTTGCTTCTTTGACGTAGCTGCCAGAATACTCAAAGGCACAGCCCCCCACTGCCCATCCAACAACTTTCACTGCCTGCCCCCCACCCCCCACTTCTCCTTTCAAACCAAATGCTCGAGTTTGACGTATGAGTGTCTTTTCTGTTGCTTGCTTGTGTTGCCTGTCTTTAGCTCAGCCGGCCCAGCCCTGTACTCAAGCAAGAAAAACCGCTCTCACGGGCTCCCTCCTAGGGTTTCAGGTTTGTCGTCTTGATGAAAGCAGACTGCCACATCGTTCTCCCAAGGAAGGCCTCGAGCCACCCACCTGCACGCTCCATCCCCCTGCCCAGCACGCCCTCTCCTCACCTGCCTCAAATTTGGCTCACACTCCCCCGCCCCCCAGGACACTAATCAGCTCTGCCCTTCCATTCTCTTCTGAGCCGATAGCAGAGTCTGCACTGGCCATGCCTGCTTATCTGTGTCTGCCCTGGTCTTCTGTGTGGGGACTGGGAGCTCCCCAAGGAAGGGGCCATGGGTCCACCCGTGGGAGGCTGACGAGCTGAGGGAGAGAGGAGACCATCTTGGCCTTGGTTGGCGTCCTGGCCCACAGCCCTCCCACCCCATCGTTCAGCTAGTGGAAGGGAGATAAGGGGTGAGGCCTCGGGTGGCTGATCGAGGAGGAGGGCCCACCCTGA